CGTATGGCCGCGTGTGTCGTGTGGCAGGTAGGCATGGTTGTAGTGGCACGGCTTGGATGTGGTGTGTAGTGGTGCTGTAGTGACTGATAGCCCTACTGGTGTGTAGGGTGCGTGTGAGGTGCCTGTGAGGTGGTGTTGTCAAGAGTGTTGGGTAGTGGGTGATGTAAGCTAGTGTGGTGTCGCGTAAGTGTACTAATGTGTAGTGGTGCGTGTAGTAGCTGTGTAGGCTGGTCCGTGGGTTCATTGACATGTACTCTGATGATCGTCAGGTGGTAGTGTGTTGCTGCGGCTGCGTTGTACCTGGTTGTGTACTGGGTGTGCTACTGGTGTGTAAACTGGGTGCTGTAGTGGTGTTGTACTGGTGTGTCACTGGTGTGGTAGTAGCGTGTTGTGTTGATGTGGTATGCTGGTGTAATACTGGTGTGTAGTAGTGGCCTGGTTGTGCTGTGTAACGTGGTGCTGTACTGGTGTGTAGTAGTGCTGTCTGTGTTTGTGTAGTATGTGTTGGGTGCCTTGGTGTACTGGTGTGCTCTTTTTTTACTCGGTCGTGTAGTGGTGTGTACTGGTGTGGTAGCTGGTGTGTAGTAGTCGTTGTATGTGGCTCGTGTAACTAGTGTGTATCTGGTGTGTACTGATGTCGTAGTAGGTTGTGTTGGTGCTAGTGTACTGGCTGTGTTACTCGGTGTGTAAACTGGTGGTGTATGCTTATGGTGTAAGTGTCTTTGTTGTACTGGTGTGTACTGGTGTGTAGTGGTGTGTAGTAGTGTGTTGTGCTGTGTACTGGTGGTACTGGGTGTAGTGGTGTGTAGTAGTGTGTTCTGTGCTGTGCTGCTAGTGTGTGTGTGCTGTGTAACTGGTTGTGTACTGGTGTGTAGTGTTGTGTCACTGGTGGTGTACTGGTGTGTTACTGTTTGTGTTAGCGTGGTGTGTAGTACAGTGTGCTTGTGCTGTGTACTGGGTGTGTACTCGGTGTGTACTGTGTGGTACTGGTGGTGTTAGTAGTGTGTTTGTGCTGTGTACTTGGTGTGTCATCTGGTGGTGTACTGGTGATGTAGTAGTGTGTAGTGTTGTTTGGGGCGGGTTTTCTTTTTTTTTTTAACCTGGGTGTTTGTAACTGGTGTGTAGTGGTGTGTACTGGTTGTGTACTGGTGGTACTGGTGCTGTACTGGTCGTGTAGTTAAGTGTGTTTTTGTGCTGTGTCACTGGTGTGTACTGGTGTGGTACTGGTGTGTACCTCGGTGTGTAGTAGTGGTGGTTGTGCTGTGTAAGCCTGGTGGTGTACTGGGTGGTGTACTGGTGGTGTAAGTAGTGTGTTGTGCTGGTGTACTGCCTTGGTGTGTACTGGGCCTGTTAGTGGTTGTGTACTGGTGTGTACTGGTGGGTGTACTGGTGGTGTAAGTAGTGTTCGTGTCTGTGTTGTTTGTACTGGGTGTGTACTGGGGGTGTGGTAGTCGTGCTGGTAGTAAAAGTGTGTTGTGCTGTGTTTGGTGGTGTACTGGTGTGTACTGTGTGTAAGATATGGTGTGTAGTAGTGTGTAGTGCTGTGTAGTAGTGTGTTGTGCTGTGTACTGGTGTGTAGTAGTGTCAATATTCAACCTGTGGCTGAATAAAAAGTTAGTTAATGAGTGACACAGATGACAAAGCCCTTCTTTGTAGAGCTTCACCTGCTGTTGAGAGATGCTTGCAGGCTGACTTCTAGGCGCAGCGCTTCCTGCGTACAGCGCAGCTTTGTGTCGGTGTCTCTCTGCTGCACCTCGGCATCCAGTAACTTCTCCTGCTGCTGCAGGGATTCCCTGCTCCTCATCGCCAGCTGCTCTCTTGCTGCCTCCAGTTCGACGGAAAGCTGGTGTGCCTGTGCCGCCAACTTGCTCCTTTCCTGCACCACGCTATCCCTGCAGTAATCCCAAGCATCTTATCTTAGCTGGTGTGAATGTACATTAATCTCTACCTTGCAACTTTTCATATGCATCTTATCGCTATAACTTGTGCTATGATATCGTATGGTTATCTTATATGGTTATAATATCTTATCATACGCTGATATGCTCTTATCTTATGGTTATATTATCTTATCACATGTTGTTAAACTGTTATCTTAGGGTTATATCATATTATCCTATGCTGGTATGATCTTATCTTCTGGTTACATTATGTTATCACACACCACTATGCTCTTATGTAAGATGCTTATTACTTGAGCAACCTACCTGTGATCCTGCCACTCTTGTGCTGATCTGTCAAATGACTGGTTTAGCTCCAACTTCTGGTCCTTAAACTTCTGCTTTAGTGCCATCAGCTTGGACTGTAACACAATGAATGATCGCATGACTAACTGCTAAATAATGACATAGGGGAGTACTGTCTGTTCATTTTTAGTTCACATATGACAAAATCCTACAGTACAAGTTGCATGACACTAATTACATGCTTTCGATTCATACAATACACAGGTGATAAGTGACAAAATTACACCAAAGAACTGAAGTATAGCAGAACACAACACCACATGATGATGGAATGGTACATCACACTAACATGTGGCAGAATGTTACAAGGCGAAACCAACGTAGGCCGCAAAACTTTACAGTTGGTTTGGTTGGATAGAAATATGGCCTCTAACTGTAAATACGGAAGGCACTGCGCCGGCAGCTATAAAACAGATGGGGACATTGAAGTGGCAGCTGTGAAACATAGAGGGCACTGCAGTGGCAGCTGTGAAACATAGAGGGTGCTGAAGTGGCAGCTGTGAAACATAGAGGGCACTGCAGTGGCAGCTGTGAAACATAGAGGGTGCTGAAGTGGCAGCTGTGAAACATAGAGGGTGCTGAAGTGGCAGCTGTGAACATAGGGGCACTGCAGTGGCGCAGCCTGTGAAACATAGAGGGCACTGCAGTGGAGCTGTGAACATGGAGGGCACTGCAGTGGCAGCTCGTGAACCATAAAGGGCTGCTGCAGCTGGCAGCGCTAAAACATAGAGGGCGCTGGGCAGTTGGCAAGCTATCGACACAAGAATGGCACTGCGGTTGCAACTTGAGAAGCATAGGAGGGTGCTACAGTTTGCAGCTGTAAAATGGGGGCGCCCTCTCTGCAACATTAAGGAGTGCGCTACAGTGTTGCCAGCTGTGAAACCTAGAGGGCGCTGTCTACCTGCAGCTGCCTCGATAGTGTTGCTGTAGGATCACGGCATGTAGTTCTCCTGTTCGTACAAGACCGTCGCGAAGTTGTTGCCTCTCTCATTGTAGCAGCTCACCTGGTTTTATTCTCCACTTGCAGCGCGCCCGCCTTCAAGGTCTGAGCGTGTGTTTCTGCTAGCCTTCACAGAGCTTATCATGGCGTCTGCAACCTGGAACACAGCATTATGTCACAGTAATAGTCACAAAGCATGGTATTTTCTCCAGTCATATGCTCCAGAGCTTCATAATGGTCTCAGCCTGTACACAGCAACATAGTCACAGTAATGGTAACACGCCATGGTATGCGTCACGTATGTCACAGAGCCTCACATAGTACCTAGCGTCCCCTATCCCGGCGCCGTGCATCATCACAGTAAATATCACATAGTTCTCGATGAATGCCAGAGATAATGCACTCTTACACACATTAATGAATACTAGGTATAAAATTAGTCTAAAACACTGCCAGTCAGAATCAATTCATAATCGACAGTCTAAACAGCAGTCTTAGTTGTGCACTGCCGTCACATATAACCGACCTCAGCTTCATACCATGCAGCGCCACAAAACTAGTAAGAAACTTCATTACTTGGGGGCCCTTAATAAATTTCGAATATAAAGCAAAAACATATTAAAAACTAAAATTCATATAACTAAAAACATATAAGTGCATGGTGAGCTTGTTAAAGGGACAGTAGCCTCAGGATTTTACTGCATACAAAAAATGTACTTTACTGTTAACAAATCGTCTATACCCACATGTCATTTTGTCACCAGATATTAATTATTATTTACACATCAACGCTACAAAATTTGAACGGCCATGACACCCGCGACCGTGCTGCCACCCTGAAAAGTTGCCGTATTTGCCATTTTTTTTGCAAGGTAAATGACGGAGCGCGGCAGCTATCACAATAAGGCAATATTATATTTATACCTAAATGCTATTTAACCGAACGGATCATTCAGTTTTAGGCAAATTTATCATATTATAACTTTGAACTAATATTGTGTTCTTATAAGATATTACAATCCTTTTGGCTTTTAAATGAATAAATAAGAATACCCTCGGTCTGTAAGCCCTTGGCTGGAAAAATGGTTATGCGCAACTTCTTCATATCGTGCGCTCTGAGTGTGCGCCACCGTCGTTGTATCAAACTGGTAGTCGTTAGTTTTCAAAACATTTTTTTTTAAAAATATTTCTAATAGTGATTGAACCGCATGAAACTTTTTATGTAGCCGCAATTTTATAAACCTAAATTAGCTTGAAAATAACCCTAGAACCTAGAGGCTACTGTTCCTTTAAAGGGAATCGAAGAGGTATACATTCAACCACAGACACAAGGTAACCATGGACGCCTGGTAACCATGGACGCCTGGTAACCATGGACGCCTGGTAACCACAGACACAAGGTAACCAAGGGTGTAACGTAACTCGCGTAAACCACGGACACAAGGTAACCATGGACACCTGGTAACCATGGACACCTGGTAACCATGGACACAAGGGTAACCATAGACACCTAGTCACCACGGACACAAGGTATAACCACAGACACCTGGTAACACAGACACAGGTAAACATGGATGCCTGGTAAACTACGGACACAAAGTAACACGGGACACCTGGTAAGCATGGACACAATGTAACCATGAACACCTGGTAACCATAAACACCCAGTAATAATGAACACAAAGTAACTGCTGACACCTGGTAACCTCTAATACATGGTAACCATAGATACCTAGTAACCACGGACACAGGATAGCCATGGCAGCCCGAGTACCCACACCAGCTGCTATAGCACAAAACGAGTCGTCATCTACCTTCTGTTTACGCACGAGTTCAAGCTCGCGGCCAACGTGGGCAGTGCGTTCTTCCCCCGCCCTCCTTGCAGCCTCCTCCTCCTGCAGCTGAGCCTTGAGTGACTGTAGCTCCTGCTCGTACATGTGCTGGTTGGCAAGGTAGTGGTTCTTGGACTCAGTGACTGTGGTGAGGTTTGCCTCTGTCTCATGCAGCTGTGCAAGCAGCTGTGCAAGCGCATGCAGCCCAGACAGAACTGTGAGTGGGGGCTGTGACACATACAGCAGTACATGTGACACATACAGCAGTACATATGACACACACAGGGGTACATGTGACACATACAGCAGTACATATGACATGCACAGGAGTACATGTGACACATGCAGCAGTACATATGACACACACACACAAAAGGGTACATGTGACACATACAGAGGTATATGTGACAATGACAGTTTGTAAAGGTGTGATACACACAGGGATACATGTGACAAGAACAGACTGTGAGGTCATGATACATATAGAAAATAAGGAATGTTGAGTGTGTGATACATACAGGAGGACCAGGGTATATAACAATGGCAGTTTAAGGGAAATTAGTACTGTGACAAACACTGATCAGTCAGGGAGAGAGCAACAGATACAAGGGAAGACATAACAATAATGAACAGTGAGCAGGGAAGTGTGTGATACACAAGTGTAACATGTAAAAATGGTGTGTGAGGGAATGATGTGGAGAGTAGTACTGTGACAAAAATGAGTGATCTGTGAGCGGGAGGGTATCACATTAATCATTCGTGGTGTAGAGATTGAGTGAAGATCATTGGTGGAAGTGCATATAATTAATGATGATGAAACTAGTTCTGCTTAAATCATGTGCATCAAATCAAATTTCAGGTTTAGAAACAATATTACAGCAGCTGGTTTCATCAAGTCTTTGCAAGTTTATAGATAAAACAAAACAAAATACATAAGAACATGGTGAATGTTTATACTGCCTCGAAAACTTACCTGTTTTTGTAAGGCCTAATATGCACACAGTCAAACCAATGTTAGTGGACACCTCTGTAGAAGGAGCACCTGTCTATAGTATGATTTTTGGCCCTTCTATTGAGTGGGAGTTACACAATAAAACAACCTCCATAGAATGAACACATCTATAAAGGTTCTCAACAAGTTGTCACACTACAAGTTGCCCTTAAGTGACCCTCACACACAGGTTTGACTGTATTTGTGATTCAGGGAAGTAAATAAAATGTGGAGAGAATACACAGATGCTGTGTAACAACATTACCTTGTTGATTCGGGTGACAATCTCTTGTTTATCCTCCTCTAGATGGCGCTGCTGCTGGTGATGTTTCTGCTCGGCATGTTGAAGCTGCACCTCTGTAGACAACTGCTGCTTGTCGAGCCGTGCTTCCACAGCCTTCCTTTCTATCCCTACCTCCTCCAACTTCTCCTGTACAAGGCAAGGGTTCATAGAATCATTGATTCACATCGACAAGCATTAGCTCTGGAAAAGAGTAATTATGATAACAGCCTGGACATTGAGAGGTGCTAGAGTGAGAAAGAGTTTATTGCAGGTAAAATTTACGCAAGTTATAAGCGGTGCACAAAGGACATGATACGCAATGTTGGCTCATAGAAATGCAGAACAAACATAGTCTTTTAAACAAGTGTCAATGTGGAGAATGCCTAACATATAGCAATGGAAATGCACACAAATAATAATGTAGAAGAGGGTTGAAGTTAGCACGTCTATTTATCTACACAAGAGCTTCTACATTGAAATAACGTTAAATAATGCAGGCAAAAAAAAATTTATACATAAGTAAGCAAAGCTGCTTACAGAACATGATTGCAAGAACTGCCTAGGCCAGGAACTTGTTATTAAACTAAGAGGGATCAATGTTTGCATGAAATTAATTCAGGCCCAGCTGAGTTAAGTACATGTTGCTGTGAGATTGTTGATTTATACTTAACCATGACGTGTGTCTGCATTTGTGGATATATATAATAAAGTAATGTATATTTATATACGTGTGTGTGTGTGTGTGTGCGTGTGCGTGTGCGTGTGCGTGTGCGTGTGCGTGTGCCGTGTGCGTGTGCGTGCATGCGTGTGCGCGCATATTGCTGTGAGATTGCTGATTGATATGTTGATGAGGGTTTTATATGTCGTTGCACCTGCAGGTGGCGGTTAGTGGCAGTGAGAGCAGCCAGCTCTGCCTTTAGCTCAGCAATGATGCCGAGAGCCTGAGAGTTCTGCGTGTCCAGCGATGCTGCTCTCGTCCGCAGTGCTTCACTCTGCAGCGTCTGCTCCTGCAAGCGTTCCGTTGTCCGCTCGTGCGTGGCGACCGCGGCCTGCGCCTGCCGCAGCGCCCCTTGTGTCTGCTCCAACTCTCTTCTGCATCAGCCACATACATTGACAGTTATCAGAGGTATTTGTCGAGAACAGAAACACTGTGCGTTCAGGGAGGGCAACCGACCTACGTGCCTGGTGTGATCGACAGGCAGCTCTAGTCAATCAGCATTCTGTAATAACGTTCTAAAAATAATGCTTAGTAATGAGGTCTCGTTAAGGATACACTCAAGTGTTTGCAGGGGCATTGCTCTAATAAAGAGAAAGTGTTTATTTACAGATGAATCAAATCAATCACGTTTTATTTATAGATGAGATGTATCTCTATGCTCAAGCCTAAAGATTTCATTAAATTTCAAGCACGTAATTATTTAACAACACAAATTTTGAATTTTTATCTAAAAATGATATTTTTGATATTTCTCAGTTACCACAAAGAGTATGAAAGCAAATTTCTCGCCACAAGTTAAGCTCACTGCAATTGCAGCTCAGTGGCACACCTTAGTTGTTTCATCTCCCCTTCGATGCTGCCACGGTCCTTATGCAGACGCTCAACATCATACAAGGATTGGTTGTGCGTGCTGGCAAGTGTCTGCTGATATTGCTGCTCCACATCTGATACTCGTGCTTCCTGTCTCGCCAGGCTTTGCCGCAAACTGTGAACCTCTACGTAACAATATTCAACAACAGTCAATAACAATGCTTACACAACAACAGTATACAAGGGTACGGCAACAGTCAACAATGGCTACAAAATAAAAGTCATTAACAACAGTCAACATTGGTCACACAATAAAAGTCAACAACAACAGTCAACAATGGTTACGCAATAACAGTCAACAATGGTTATGCAACAACAGTCAACAACAAAATTCAACAATGATTACACAATAACGGTGAACAACAACAGTCAGCAATGGTTATATTACAACAGATAATAAGAGTCAACAATAGTCAACAACCATACTAACAACAGTTAACAATGGTCAACAATAGTGTATTTGTGCATGTGTGCATGTGTGCAGCTCATAGGGTCTATGTCCACCAGGGTACTATAGGAGGGTACCCTGGGTACGGTTCGATATATCAGAACGTACCCTGGTTACTATCTGATATGGTTAGGGTTAGGGTTAGGGTTAGGGTTAGGGAGTAGGCGTAGGTGACTCCCTAGATTCGTTAGTGGAGTAGGCGAGGTACGGTCCGACATATCAAATAGTTACCAGGGTACCCTCCGATAATAACCCGGGGGACATAGACCCTCTCAGCATGTGTGCGTATGTGCCTACACTTGTAAACGCATGTGTGTGCCTGTGTGATGGTGTGCCTGCAAATGTGCATGCGTGTGTGCATGTGCATCTGATAGTGTACAAGTGTGTGTGTGTGTGTGTGTGTGTGTGTGTGCGTGCGTGCGTGCGTGCATGCGTGTGTGGTTGTGTATGTGTGTGCGCGTGCTTGCATCACGCTTACCGGCAGCTAGAGAGTTCCTCTCCTCACGCAGAGTTGAACAGCTCTCCTGACTCGCCTCCAACCGGTGACGGTACATTGACAACTCCAGCTGTATCTTCTCCAGCTCCTCCCCTACCTTCATCCTTGCACTTTCCTCGATCTGACACTTATCCTACAACGAGGAACATCTATGTTAACAGCTGGTTACTGATGTTTATTTTGCAGCTGTGAGTATCTATATTAAACAGCTGGTTACTGAATTTTATTTTGCCGAGTGATGAGAGATCTATGTTAACAGCTTGGTTACTGACTATTTACCTCAGTGTGAATATCTATGTTAACAGCTGGTACTGATGTTTATCTGAATGTGCATCGATGTTAACAGCTGTTCGTATATTTACCTTCGGAGTGAGATATATATGTTAACAGCTGCGTTTACTGAATATTTATCCTGCAGTGTGAGATATCTATGTTAACAGCTGCCGTGCGGATTGTTTATCCTGAAATGTGAGTATCTATGGTAAGCTGGGTACTAATTATTGATCCTTCAGTGTGTGTATCTATAGTTAACAGGGTTACTAATATTTATCTTCAGCTGTGTGTATCTATGATTACAGCTGGTGCGCGATATTTGATCCTGCAGTGCTGTGAGTATCTATGTTACGAGCTAGTTACTGATGGTTCTTGCAGGCTGTGAGTATCTATGTTACACAGGCGGTTACTCGATATTGATCCTGCAGTGAAAGACATGCTGATATCTATGTGAAACAGCTAGTCTACTGATAGTTATCCTACCGTGATGAGATATCTATGTTAAACAAGCTGTTCTGATATTTTTCCTGCTCAGTGTGAGATATCTTATTAACAGCTGGTTACTGATGTTTATCCTGCAGTGTGAGATATCTATGTTAAAGCTGGAAGTCTACTCTATAATTTATCCTGCAAGGTGAGATATCTATGGTTAACAGCTGGTTACTAAGAATGTTTATCCTGCAGTGCTGTTGTACTATGTTAACAGACTGGTACTGATATTGATTCTGCAGTGTGAGATATTATGTTACAGACTGTGTTATTGATATGTTATCTGGCAGTGTGAGATAATCTATATTAAACAGCTGGTTATGATGTTTATCCTGCGAATGTGAGATATCTATGTTAACGCTTGGCTTACTGATATTTATCCTGCAGTGTGAGATATCTATAGTAAACAGCTGGTTTTGATGTTTATCCTGCAGCTAGTGTGCATATCGATGTGTACGCTGCGTTACTATTATTTATCCTGCAGTGTGAGATATCTATGTTAACAGCTGGCTGAGCTCTTTTTTCGGTTCACTGGATATTTATCCTGCAGTGTTTGATATCTATGATTAACAGTGTGTACTGATATTTATCCTGCAGATGTGAGATATCTAAATACAGCTGGTTACTTGATGTTTATCCTGCAGTTGAATATCTATGTTAACAGCTGGGTTACTTTATTTATCTCGCCCATCAGGTGAGTTTCTATGTTAACAGCTGCGGTACTGACTGTTTTCCTAGCAGTGGGAGATATCTATGTCTTAACAGCTGTTATGATATATTATCGGGCAGTGTCGAGAGAATCTATGTTAACAGCTGCGTTACTGATATTTATCCTGCAGCTGTGGATATCTAATCATTAACAGCCTGCGTTACTGATGTATATTCCGCAGGTGTTGATATCCTATGTTAAACAGCTAGTTCTATATTTATCCTGACAGGTGAAGATATCTATGTTACAGCTGGTTACTGATATTTATCACTTCAGTGATGTGCATATCTATGTTAACAGCTGGTCTATATTTATCCTTCGACTGTGGATATCTATTTTAACAGCTGGCTTACTATATATTATCTTCAGTGTTGATATCTATTAAGTTAACAGCGGTGGTTACGGATATTATCCTGCCAGTGTGTGATATCTGGTTAACAGCTAGTTTACTTATGTTTAATTTTGCAGTGTGGATATCCTATGTAACAGCTGGGTTACTTTATTTATCTGCAGTGTGGAGATATCTATGTAACAGCTGTTATTGATGTTATCCTGCAGTGTGAGATATCTGATGTTAACAGCTGGTTACTGAGTTTATCTGCCGACAGTGTGGAGATATCTATGTTAACAGCTGGTTACTGATATTTATCACATGCAGTGGTGAGATATCTGATGTTAACAGCTGGTTACTGATATTTATCCTGCAGGTGAGATATCTATATACAGCTGGTCTGAGTTTATCCTGCAGTGGTGATTAATCTATGTTAACGCTAGTTACTGAGTATTTATCCTGCAGAGTGTGAGATATCTTGTTAACAGCTGAGTTATGAGTATTTATCCTTCAGTGTGTGATATCTATGATTTACAGCGCCATGACGTTACTAATATTATATTCTTCGTGATGTGATATCTATGTTAACAGCTGCTGTTACTCATATTATCTTCAGTGTGTGATATCTATGTTACAGCTGGATTACGGATATTTATCCTCGGGTGTGTGATATCTATGTTAACAGCTGTTACATGATGTTTATTTGCAGGCTGTGAGAAATCTATGTAACAGCTGTGATGATATTAATCCTGCAGGTGTGTGATATCTATGTTACAGCTAGTTACTGATATTTATCCTGCAGATGTGAGATTCTATGTTACAGCTGGTTACTGATATTTATCCTTGCCGTGGTGAGAGATCTATCTATATTAAACAGCTGGTTACTGGATGTTTATCCTGCCAGTGTGAGCATATTCTTGGTAAAAGCTGGATTACTTGTTATTTTCCTCAGTGCTTAGAGATATCTATGTTAACAGCTGGTTGATTGATGTTTATTCCTGCAGTGTGTGATATCTATGTTAACAGCTAGTTACTGATATTATCCTGCAGTGTAGAATATCTATTATAACAGGCTGCGTTATGATATGTTTCCCTGCCAGTGTGAGATATCTATGTTTAACAGCTGGTTACTGTGTGTTTATCCCTGCAGTTGCTGATATCTTATGTTAACAGCTGGGTTAGCTGTATTTATTTTGGCAGTAGTCGCGGGTAGATATCTAATGTTAAAGCTGTTACTGATAGGTTATCCTGCAGTCAGTGTGATATCTATGTTAACAGCTAGTTACTGTTTTTATCCTGCAGTGTGGATATCTATGTTAACAGCTGCGCTTACTGATATTTATCCTTGCAGTGTGTGATATCCTATGTTAACAGCTTAGTTACTGATATTTATACTGCAGTGTGAGATATCTATCGTTAACAGCTGGTTACTGATAGTTTATCTGCAAGTGTGAGATATCTTATGTTAAACAGCTGGGCGTTCCTGATGTTTATCCTGCAGGCTGTGGATATCTTATGTTAACAGCTGGTTACTGATATTTATCCTTCAGGTGATGTGATATCTGATGTTAACAGGCTGGTTACGGAGTGATTTAGTCCTGCGAGGGGTTGTGGAGATATCTATGTATACAGCTGGGTTACGAGTATTTATCCTTCAGTGACGGTTGATCTATGTTACAGGCTTGTACTGCATATTTATCCTGCAGTGTGAATATCTATGTTAACGCTGTTACGATATTTATCCTTCAGTGTGTTGATATCTATGTTACAGCTGCGTTACTGAATATTTATCCTGCCGTGTGAGATATCTTATGTTAACAGCTGGTACTGATAGTTTATCTGACAGTGTGTGATATCTATGTTAACAGTGTTACTGGATGATACTGTATTCTCCTGCCAGGATGAGATATCTATGTTACCAGCTGGTTACTGATGTGTTTATCCTGCAGTCGTGTGGATATCTATGTTTAAAGCTTGGTTACTGATGTTTATCCTGCACGGTGTGTGAGTAGCTTGTCTAACAAGCTGGTTACGGATATTTATCCTGCAGGTGAGTATCTTATGTTAACGCAGTTACTGATATTTATCCTGCAGTGTGAGATGATCTATGTAACAAGCTGGTTAGACGGATACTTTGATCCTGCAGTGATGTGATATCTATGTTAACACGCTGAGTTACTGATATTTATCCTGGCAGTTGATGAGGATATCTATGTTAACAGCTGGCTTACTGAGTTTTCCTGCAGTGGAGAGATATCTATGTTTAACAGCTGACGTTACTATATTGGTATCCTGGCAGTTGAGAGTATCATGGTTAACAGCTGGTTACTGGATATATCCTGCAGTGTGAAGCTATCTATGTTAACAAGCTGGTTACTTATATTTATCCTTGGCCAGTGTAGAATCTATGTTAACAGCTGGTACTGATATTTATACCTGTGCCAGTGTGAGATATCTATGTAACACTGGGTTACTGATGTTTATCCTGTGCAGTATGAGATACTATACAGCGACACAGTACTAATAACTTGGCACACCTTCATGATTACTGCAGAGTTGTGTTCACGGTCCCGTTCCATCTGCAGTCTCTCCTGCTCCGTTTTGCCTTCTCTCTAGCTGCTTAGATGCACTCTCATATCCTTCCTTCAGCTACCACTCTCAGTCTTCTCCTTCTGGAAACTATAAGCAGTAGAATAAAGGTATGGATAAAGAAGATATTAGGAGAACTGATACTGCAAGTGTTTGATAAAAAATGTATATAATCAGGATATAATGTATAATGTATTTTTTAATATATGCATCCTAACCAGTGCTCAAAGCTCGTTAAAATTCCAGGTCGCCCAAATATAAAAATATAGGCCAGTCAAAACTTCAATCCACTCTTCCGAAAATTAATCCACTGGCCTGTAATAAAATGTTCAACAATAAACTGCTTATCTGTATCAGAAGGTATCAGCATAAAAATGCACTAAGTATCATAATAAGTATATAATATATACAAACATATTTTGTGTCAGAGGGCAGAAGTTAATTATTTGGCCGACACTGTTGTCAGACACTCAGCCAGCTGAAATATGAGGCGATGCATTGCATGCATTGGCAAAAAGGTAGTCGCCCAGCAGTTCAATCAAGGGCGAGTGAAATGAGCATTTAGGCAAGTTCCACTCACCCCGCAGTGTTTTCACTCAACATTTTGAGCACTGATAACCCGTGATTGCTTCTAACCCTAACCTACTAAAGCGAGCAAGAGTGATGCCCTTACGTGAACAAAGGCAACAAGGAATAAGTGCGAATAAGCGACATATATAAGACATAATAAAGTGCAGGGCATGAACAATGACGTATAAAGAAAACACTGGAAACCCCGCAGGAGCGGGGAGGGGGTAACTCCAAAGCCCGGGGGGCGGAAGTACCCCTTCCACCGGTAGGCCGAGTTTTTTAATTTTGGGGTCACAATCAGAGGCGCCGAGACGTCGGGGGCAGGGGGGGCCACGGCCGCCCTCCAATCTAAAAGTGGGAGGGGGCAAAACCAAAAAGCCCCACCCAAAAAAAGAATGGGAAAAGAAAAAAAATTGTAATGAGCTAAGACGTTGATACAGTAATTACTACAACGTCTCAAAACTAAATTATATACATCCAGTTTTAAAGCGTTTGTCGCTGGCGCCGCTTTGCAGTGAATTGACGGCTCACTGCGGCACACACAGCGGGCTCACGCACAACGCGCTCAGCACACACTGTCACGACACATGCGGCTCACGCACAACCGCACACACATGCCGCTCACGTTACACACAAAAACGCAAGAAACAACCAACAAGCGGAAGAGATGCGCTTCACAGCGCTCACAGCAGCAATACGCGCTCAGAATGCACACAACCGTCACACACACCGCCGTAATCACGCACACACGTCGCACACACGCGCTCACGCACACACGTCGCACACACGCGCTCACGCACACACGTCGCACACGCATACACGTCGCACACACGCGCTCACGCACACACGTCGCATACAAGCGCTCACGCACACACGCGCTTACGCACACACGCGCTCACGCACACACGCGCTCACGCACACATGTCGCACACACGCGCTCACGCACACACGCGCTCACGCACACGCACACATGTCGCACACACGCGCTCACGCACACACGTCGTATACACGCGCTCACGCACACACGTCGCACACACACGCGCTCACGCACACACATCACACACACGCGCTCAGCACACATGCGCTCACGCACACACGCGCTCACGCACACACGTCGAACATACGCGCTCACGCACACACGTCGCACACACGCGCTCACGCACACACGTCGCACACACGCGCTCACGCACACACGTCGCACATACGCGCTCACGCACACACGTCGCACACACGCGCTCACGCACACACGTCGCACACATGCGCTTACGCACAAACGCCGCACACACACACACCGTGACACACGCCACACACATGAGCTCATGCACACACGCGCTTACGCACACACGTCACGCACACGCGCTCACGCACACATGTCGCACACACGCGCTCACGCACACACGTCTACGGCTACGGGTACCAGTCTAGCCTGCTGCCTAGCTTGCACGTAAACTCGGAAAAAAACGGAAAACGCGGAAACAATTCTGGGATCGGGAAAAAAGCGGAAATCTGCGGAAACGCGGAAAATTTTCATGCCTGCAGGTGAAGATAACTTCTTCTTCTTTTTTTCGGTTACTTTATTCTATATTGGACTCAAGGGTTTAAATCCACATCAGTAACCCACTCCAGGAATCTGGCTCGGTCCAGTTTTTGGCAGCTCTTTCATTGCACAATTTATTTGAAGCAGATTTTTTACGACTGTATGACCTTACTAACATCAACCGGTGACGGGAAGTTTTTTTCACACTCTATCTCTTTTTGCTGAGTGCTAAGCAGAGAAGCAGTGTGTACCATTTTTCAAGTCTTTGGTATGACCCGGCCGGAAGTTGAACCCACGACCTTCCGCATGCGAGGCGAGCACTCTAACATTGAGCCATTGCTGCGGTGCTTAACTAAACCTGATTAAATGGATGGCGGCTTAATATGATGAATGGGGTACTCACTGTATCGTACTCTGCAGTAAACCTTCTCTCCAGTGTGATGTTTGCATCTCTGAGTAATTGTACATCTTTGCTCGTATTGTTTAACTGTAACAATAACGAGTCAGTGAGTTTAACAATGACCATTAATGTGAGTGTGGAAGGGATTGAGGTTTCCTTAAGTACTGGAAGGAGATAGAGATACACAGAAGCTTAAATGCAGAGATAAGTCATACAACACATGTTGTTCACACAAATCACATAAAGGGTGACAGTGACAGCTTACGTCAGGTGTTACGCGACCAAACAGTGATGGCATCTGTTGCAGATTCCTCTATAAATAGAATAAGTTAGTAGGATACAAGGTTCTCCCAAAGAATTTAAGATGGCATGTCAGGCAATTGAGCAATTCAAATAATTGGAGTCAATTAGGCATGTCATAAGCAACCCAAATACACAGGTAAACTCAATCTGTTCGAAGATAAGTACACATCAAGCTGTGAAAACACAGCATGACTATGTAGCGATTGTCAAAGTAAACGCACATGGAAATTAAGGCATGTCGATTAGGCAACTAACCCATGTCAGAGAATCTATGGGATGTCACAAAAGCAGCTTCAGCTTTGAAGGCATGTCAGACCTGACATGCATTAAAAATCTGAGGAGAACACTGGCGATAGCATTGATGATTGAGGTTTCATTAGACTATACAACTCATCATGTGAGGTGACCACCAGCACTACGATTGGCACAGCACAGCAGAGAACAGCACACAGGCTACATACTTGGGCCTTCAATTCTGCCTTATCTGCCTCCTGAGACAGAACACTGCGATTGACTAGACGCAGCTCAGTTTCCATAGCAACCAATTGTTTATCTTTAGCATGGAGCTGAGACTCTATAAACTGCAGCTTTTTCTTTAGGTCTTTCAGCTGAAAGTGTATCCACTTACAACTAAGCATTTTTATATATATAAAAAAACGAAACAAATTGAAGAAAAAAAATATATAATTGCCCTACGCATATGTGAACCATTTGTTTAATTATACAATCACATATTTAAACAGAAAATAAAAAGAGAAATATGAAAAGAAACTTACTCTAAATAAAATTATTCTTGTGGCTTGCTAATATTTCACATTTCTCTTTCTAATTCTCACCTTTACTAATGCATCTGCTTCATTTGGCTCCCTGCTGCCACCTAGTGGTGACTTCTGTAGTTGAGCTGAGCTGAGCTGTGTGTTCAGTGATTCAATGTCAAGCTTCTGTCTCCTAAATGTGCACAAATAGCATGGGAACACTCAACCACAGTTGGCAGCACCAGTTCTACACAGACGGCGGTGTGATTTTATTATTACACATGTATTTCATTTTAATCAAAGACATTGCACTATTTTGTAGTGTTGTACACATCTACGAAATTGATTCACGTTCCTCTCGTGTGGCTGCCCCATGTTTCACATCAATAGTATAACAGCAGGGGTAGAAATTAACCTTTGAACACGGGAGTCCAACGGACTCCCTACCCTCAAAAACAGGGAGTCCGCAGCAAAATGAGGGAGTCCGCAGTCTGAGGTTCAAAATTAAAGATCTTAACAATAACGCATGTGCTTATTTTTAAGATTCATGCAGTTGCACGTCTGCCAAATTTTCATTGGACAGTAGCTGAAAAAATACGGTAATTGCGCGAGGCCGTGCTCTGGAACAAACTAATTAGTATAGCAGAATTTTCAGGCAGTCACACAGACTCCTGCATATGTCAAACCAGGGAGTCCGACAGTAAAACAGGTAGTATTTGACTCCCGACTCCCGTTAATTTCGCACCCTGTAACAGGCTATAGTAAATGCCTGTAAACGCCAGACACATGCAGGTACGACAGAGAGGCAGAGAGTGAGAGAGAGAGGGAGAGAGAGAGATAAATGTGCTGCAGTTAGACGATTCCCTCTACAATGCCCTACACTAACGTAAAAGCATCCTACAGAGACTTCAGCTCTACTTCATCTGCTAACGGCTGCTCTATCACACTTCCTTCTACCATGCATGATACTAACCTAACAACGTCCTGCAGGGACTTCAGCTCTATTTCATCTGCTGACCGCTATCACACTTCCTTCTACCAAGCATGATACTAACCTAACAACATCCTGCAGAGACTTCAGGTCTACTTCATCTGCTGACCGCTATCACACTTCCTTCTACCATGCATGATACCAACCTAACAACATCCTGCAGAGACTTCAGCTCTACTTCTCTCTCATGTAGCAGACGTTTTGCAGTCCCAGCATCATCGACTGTCCCCGTGCAATTGGCAATGTGGCTTAAGTTGTTATCCTACATGCAGGCAACACATATACATTAATATCACGATGGTAAGGATACAATATGGCACGGAGTTCACATTTCTGTGGGTTCATACAGTACTGTTTCTGTGGGTACATATTCATACAGTGAGAAATTCATTTATTGCAGTAGCACTGCCTTATGCCACTGCCTTGGAACTGTAGCACTTGTTACATGTCCACAGTTGCCCTACCATTATTGTTACTCAGATGTGCCACGAACAGTGGAGGAAAGCAGAATTGGCTTGCAGAATCTGCTTGACAGGCAGCTCTAACTAATCAATGTTGTAACAAGAACATTGTAAAAGAATGCATGCCAGGGAAGTGCCACCAAGACTTCACAAAAGTTAAGGTGTATGCGCGAAAAATGATTACACTGGTCCAACTTGATTGACCAAGCAACAATATTGCACGGGGCTTGGTTATATATATGTGGCCCGTTATAGCCAAATGAGTCGGAAGTCGCACATACAGATTTTATGCTATGCGTGGTTTTAACTATATAATATAGGCATTAAATTTTTGTTTTTGTGATTAGATGCAGGAGATTTAACTGCAATAGATAGAATGTTTTCTATCAGAATATCTGGGTGAAATATACATATAATATCTTTAAAAGATATAATTTTGCTAGTTTGTATCAAATATATCAATATATATATATGAAGTTGGCCATATTTTAGACTCGATTTTCTCACTCTTCTGATTTTTCAAGGGTTAATTAAATAACTTTAAATATGATTTATCACTTAATATACTTATAATTAATTAAACTTTTTTATTTCTTATCCGATTCTCAAAAATGTTTGACCAGAATTTTAGATGCAGAATATCACCATATGGTTATCTGGAAATTAAAAAATCACCCCAAGTGACTCATTTGGCTATAACCAGTCACATATACTGTATTGTATTGTTGCTCTCTCACTCACCTGAGGTTTGTTGGTGATGAGTTGAAGCTCTGCCTCAAGCTGCTGCCGCTTGCACACCTCCACTAGCAGACGCTCCTGCATGGTCTCTATCTCTGCCCGCAGGCTGCTAGCGCCACCTACAACATGCCATGCGCACTAAAACACTGCTGCTGAAGATGTAAGCAATGTATGGCTGTGAACAGTGATGGATGGTGTGTGCACGCACACACGCGCACGCACACGCAGTACACGCAGATGCAAACACGCACACTTACTCATGCACGCACGCGCACAAACACAGATACTGCCATATTATGTAACTGGTCTTTTATACAGCTTGTATAATTTTTGCATCAATGTGCTCTGCACCTAGCTTGTATTTGTTCTAATGATTGCCTATTTGCCCAGCACATATCTATATTTCACGTATCCGTTAAGCACGTCTCATGAGTTTAGCACATGTTTACGACTAGGTTTGCACGCATCATTATGATTTAATTATATACAAATTTTTTTTTTTTTAAGCTGTTTCGACATTACTGCTCACCGTCAGCCTTGCTGGATGCTGACGTGGCATTCAGCTTCAGCGCCTTGTTCTCAGCATCCAGTTGCGCAGCCTGGCCCGCCACGGTCTTCACATGTGCCTCCAGCTTATTCTTCTTACTCGTTAACGAGGCGAGTCTCCTGGAAGACAGCAAACAAGAAGCAAATGTGAGCCAGCAGCATCTCTCAGCAAGCAAGCCGTGACAACCGCCACGCTGCTGCTATCATTAGACGAAAGTGCGCAGCTTTATCGATTGATCTATCGAAGTGAATGACAGATACGGCTAGCTAATCACTGCTGTGACAGGCATGTTTTAAAAGAATATTCTTGATAACCGGAGTGCAGAAAACACAGCAAATTGGCGCGCACATGTGAAAAACAAACTGGTCTAGCTCAATCGACCAAGCAACAATATCCAAAGGCGAGTGGTTATCTCACTCATGCGAGTAGGTCGATTGTTTGCACAAACTGTGATAGCATAAACATTTGTAGAGCATAGACCCCGTAATTAACAACATGTTAAAAAGCGCATAAATAATTAATCAGAACAAATTAATCAAAACAGCACGTGTGATTGTGGATGCCTCCACACAACAGATTGCATGGTATACTAGACAGCAGTGATGACCCTGCTCTCACGTGACACTTACTCCTTGAGCGTGTTCTCCATGACCTGCCGGTCACGGATGCGGTTGTGTATCTCCCAAGCCTGGTTCTTTATCTGCTGCTCCATATCCATCTTCTCACTCAGCAACCTCTGCAGAGAAACGAGAGAAAAACTACGTGTTAGAGTAACTCAGAAGAGAAGTCATTGCCCTCACTTACATACAATGAATCCACCTGCAAAAACATTTACTTATTACAATATAGTGTATATATATATATATATATATCAAGAGCTAATAAATACCTAGAGTGTACAACGGGAAAACGGGAAAATAGTGCTATTTCACGGCAATATTATTCTACTTTGTATGCGGTTCTCTCTAAAATAAGACCAACCGCTTGTCTCTAAGATACTCCTAGGCCGAGATATTGGAGCGTAATCATGCCTCCCACAGGCCTAACGCCGCCTCGCATCCACAATATTCACTATCCTTCTCGCCTTTTGCGGGTCTAGCTATTCATGCCCAAATTTGGTACTCTTACTACACCATATATTAACTGAGCTGCGTTGTAGAGACTTAATTTAGAAAACATTGCCGGCTCCATCATGACGGGCATTAGCCGTGCTAGGAAAGATAATGGGAGATAAGGGCATGTAGGCGATGTCCCCGAAAGTCACCGATGATAACCGAAACGCCGTTCATTCATAAAGTTATCGCGGAAAAACCCGAACTCTCATGAAGCGACTTTCACAACCCGCAAACGGCGAGAAGGATAGTGAATATTGTGGATGCGAGGCGCCGTGAGGCCTGTGGGAGAGGAAGTTTACGAGCCTATATCTCAGCCTACAAGTATCGTATTGACAAGTGGTTGGTCTTGTTTTAGAAAGAAAAAAATTCTGCTTAATGCAATACCATAAAATTATTCTACACTCGCAAGCAAAGTAGAATAATATTGCCGTAAAATAGCACTATTTTCCCGTTTTTCCATTGTACACGCTAGGTGTTTATTAGCTATTGATATATATATATATATATATATATAATAATAATAAATATATATACATACATATACGTGTGCATGCATGCGTGCATGCGTGCGTGCGTGAATGCGTGCGAGTGTGTGTGTGTGTGTGTTCGTTCAAGACTACAAAGCTCTTTTTAGGGATGCTTTATGCAGATCATTTATTAACCACACATTTACCGTCAGTCAGATTTGCAGTGGTTAACAACAGTATGCCTGACAACTCACTAGCGATGTCATTTACAAATACCAGCATGCCTGATGACTCACTAGCGATGCAATTTACAAATACCACAATCTTACCACATACACGTAGCCACCGATGCCCTCAATTACACACTACCCAAAGAATAACTAGCGCTGTTGCTTACATACCAAGAGTCTATCCCCACAACCACACTCCCGACAACTATTGTCTAACCCTACCCACTGAGGACTACATGATATTATTTATGTACATGTATCTGCATGAATGTTATTTCTATCTTTGCAGATAACCGAGGACTAAGGATGTGGTGTTGGCAGCGCTGCCCTGGTTGCGCGGCTACAAACCTTCAGCTCGTCTGGTAGCTTGCTGGTGTTGAGGCCGATCTCTGCAAGGTAGTGCTGCAGCAAGGAGAGCTGAGCGGCTACCTCCTTGCGCCGGTACCACAGACAGCGCACGACCTCCTCGGGTTGCGACGGATGAACACCTTCCTCCTGCTGCACCGCACGCAGGATCTGCTGAATCTCCTGTGAACCCTGAGACGACATGATGCCCAGATGTTTTAATGTAATGTAATGTATATATATATATATATATATATATATTATTGCCTGTCACAAAACATGCTGCCCAAGCAACAAGACATTACCTGTACTGTCAGCTCTCCAAATTCCGAATTCACTCAAACCTAACCTCCTTCAAAACCTAATCTCAGACTAAACCGGAAGTCACAACACATCTGACACATGTAAGATGCAAGCCTTATAATCCAAATTTCACTGAAAACCGAACTAAATGGGCAGTCCCGAGGGTGGTCTGTATTGGGAGAGTTGACTGAATATTAAATATAAATATATAAATCAATGTAATACCTCAGTAGGCTGTCTCATTTCCCAAAGTATCGCATTAATTGCAAAGTATTAGCATTAGTAAACACAAAATTCCCTAACAATGTAGTGACCGTTTAATGTAAGAGCAATGTAGATGCTAGTTGGCAGCATTCCTCAGTGGGCAACATTGCATTTCAGCTGAAAAAATTCATTTTAATTTAATGTCACCGCAATGACTTGTACCAATTACATTGCTGTAATTCCCACAGCCATATAATAATATGTAGAGTAATGCCCAAAATATTTGTATAACATTTATTGATGCATAGTGGCTTCAACACAAAATTGGGGATAACAATTGTGTAAACGCACAACTTGCGAGCCAAACTACGAGACAACTGACAAGTAAGGGCAGATCAGCAAAATGACACACTTTCACGGTAACCATAGCGATGCATGAGGACGAATGTGGGCAGACCAACAAAACCACAGGCAATTATGGTAACCATGGTCAGAACAAACATAGGCAGACCAACAAAGCCACAAGTCACCATGGTAACCATGGTGATGCATCAACAAAACAGGGCTCCACCAAGGGTCGGATATAACCACTGTGTTTCACACAACAACGAGGTATGCCAACTGGGAAAACGTCGAGATTTTGCCGTAACCACGGCGATTGACCGTCGAACCTTTGTGCCGGGTCGGACTGTATCTATCCAGCGTTGTCGCTGCCTCCGGTCGGTGGTCGTTGTCGTGGCGACGTCAGCGAGCATCTTGTGGATGTGATCACGAAGTGCGGCAATGCAGTCTTCCTGTGCCTTGTTACGCTCTGTCTCTCTAATAAGTCGCCGAAGAGCATCCTTCTCTGCTACCTATCAACAACAGAGATTACATGCTAGTTACACACTCACAGTTCAACAACAGAGATTACATGCTAGTTACACACTCACAGTTCAACAACAGAGATTACATGCTAGTCACACACTCACAGTTCAACAACAGAGGAATTATATGCTAGTTACACACTCACAGTCTCCAACACAGAGATTACCATAGCTAGCTCACACGGCACTAACCAGTTTAACAACAGAGATACATGCAGTTACACACTCACAGTTCAACAACAGAGATTACATGCTAGTACAACACTCACAGTTCAACAACAGAGATTACATGCTAGTTACACACTCACAGTTCAACAACAGAGATTACATGCTAGTTACACACTCACAGTTTAACAACAGAGAGCCCATGCTATAGTCTCACACTCACAGTTTAACAACAGAGAGCCCATGCTATAGTCTCACACTCACAGTTTAACAACAGAGATACCATGCTAATCTCACGCTCACAGTTCAACGACAAAGAGCCCATGCTAGTCCTCACACAGCATAAGTTCACACAACAGCAGACCGCATGCTAGTCCTACACTCCCAGTTTAACACAGAGGAGGCCCATGCTAATCTCACACTCACAGTTCAACGACAGAGAGCCCATGCTAGTCTCACACTCACAGTTCAACAACAGAGAGCCCATGCTAGTCTCACACACATGGTTCAACAACAGAGATATATACCATGACTATTCATATGATCTACCTTTGAAGCGCATTATTTTTACCAGGCACTTTAATAGAAAACACTCTACACTCCCTCATTTTATTAGCTATAGAAACAGTAGAATGATTAAAACCACACACTAGCTGTAAAACCACACATCACTTAACAGCAACGCATGTGCTTACCTGTAGCTTTGACAGCTGATGAGCGTACTTCGTCTCTAGTTCAGTAATGACCTCAGCTGTTTGGCTCCTCTCTTGCTCTAGCTCCTGCACTGCCCTTGTCAACCTCGCCTCCATGCCCAGCACCTGTGTTGGCTGCAGCAGGGTGGGTAGCCATGTGTGACAGGAGAGATGATAGTACAGATCCATGCATGAACAAGGGCAATATGGAATCCACGGGTGAACGAAATCCATGAGGAATGCCAGTCGTTACAAAGGGCAACACGGAATCCATGGGTGAACAAGGGCAACACGGAATCCATGGGTGAACAATGGCAACACGGAATCCATAGGTGAACAATGGCAACACGGAATCCATGGGAGAACAAGGGCAACACGGAATCCATAGGTGAACAAGGGCAACGTTGAATCCATGAAAGAACAAGCACAACACGGAATCGGAAAATGAGCGAGCGAGACGTATGGAGTGCAGCATGGCAAAGCATAGAAGTCAAGGTCATCACAAAATTACGTCATCAGCAGACAACGGGATTGGTGGTAGGGTTTCAATGTCACAGATCATACAAAAATATTAACCAGTTGTAAGAAGACGTAGATATCATTGAGGGGGAGGGGAGAAAAGAAAAGAGAGAAACATTTCCTCGTATATTCAACACATTAATTGTTGAAGAGAACAAGAATAAGAGAGAGAGAGAAAGTGAGGAAAGGAGGGAGGGAGGGAGCAAGAGAGAAGGAGAGAGGAAGAGAGAGAGAGAGAGAGAGAAAGAAAGCGCGCGCGAGAGAGAGAGAGGGAGAGCGAGAGAGAGAGAGAGAGAGAGAGAGAGAGAGAGAGAGAGAGAGAGAGAGAGAGAGAGGCCGTTAACTATCTCAAGTCACAGCAGAAATGTTACCAGGTATCCGTCCATGTTGACTTTATGCACCAGAGAAGTCTTATAATATTTAAACATTCCACCTTCCCTCTTAGATGAAGTATGATGAAACATGATCATACAGTCATCATTCATTCTCCTCACGACTATTGATGAAAGGAGTTGGGTTTGGACAGAGACACTCCATCTATGGTTGGTGTAGGCTCAGTACGTAATAAGCGAACCAGCAGCTAGAGTACAACAGCTGCCCCGCTATGACTCTTTCATAAAACGCTGGGGTTACGATGGTGAGCATCAATAATTCAGCCTAATCACGTGTACGACAAGACTGCCCCCTCACCTGACACCTGCCTAATCCAATGCAAGTGTAAACCTGTCAGCACAGTAGTCAATCAGTAATTCTAAGGCCCGTACATGGATACACCATTCAATAATACATGTGTATCGGTCGTGGATTTTCCACGTACAATAGTGTGGGCTATCATCCCCTGAACCCATTATAATTTACCTGATGTTCCCCAATGTACTGGTGTATGTAATGCTTGAAAACAATGCTGGCAATACTGTTGGACGTTTAGTAGTAAAGTTTACCTTCGAATTGAATGCTGGGGCACCACTGTCGGAACCACTGCTGGCACGTGCCTGCTCTCTTAGCATAGCATTCTGCTGGCTAAGTCGTTTGACCTCAGCCATGACCTTCTCCTTAATGTTCTGTTCCTCCGCTAGGCGGCGCTCACTGTCACTCAGCACGGAAACCATGTTTTGTAATGATTCCTGTAAGATTAAATACCAGACGTCACATGGCAATATACAGCACTCTAACCTTTAAGCTACTGCCTCTCATGCTCAAAGAGTCTGCCTCCCAAGGTAACATTGGAGTGCACCCCAAAATCTAACACTAACGAACTCTAACCAGATCCTAACTCTGACCTAACCCTTACCTAATCAAACACCTAACCTAAAGTATCCCAGTGAATCTTCCCAACATTTATACCCAAGAAGACACATTTAGACACGAACATTGCTGCCAACAGGGCACATACACTAGATATAAGAGTGTGTTACACATACAGTGTGCCTGCAGCCAGCCTTTACCAAGATACAGGCTCTGTACACATAGAGAAAATTTTGTCCAGGGCTTCCTGTTTCCCACGAATTAAATGGGACCATATTCCATAACCATGAGATATATATTTATCACCCAACCAATGATTAGGAAACAAATTAAAAATGTCAAGAACTTTGTAGGATCAAACAATGTAATAGCAAATGTTTCCAGCCTTTCTAGACATGGATATGGCATTTTAAAATCCTACAAGCACATTCTAAGTGTTTTTCAGCAACTTGAGATAACATACCTTCAGCTGGGCGACTTCATCGTCACGGTTTAGTGGTGGTGATGTTCTAGCAGTAGACTCGCCACCCGGCGTGTTCACTGTGGCATGGTGCACGTGTAGATTCTTCAACAGCTGTAAGATTAGCACAGCAGAGATGAGAATCATGCCTCATCCGTTGCCCTCACTACCCATGTAGAACCTATACATAAACACGCGACACTAACGCTCAAGGGGTCGTTGTCGTAACAGGTACTACAGATATGTACCCGAGGTACATATATGTATACACAAAGTGTACCAGACTTGTACTACAGAAGTGTACCCTAACCCTAACCTTAACCCTAACCCTAACCCTAAACATACCTCATATAAAAATATAAACATAATACTAAACAACCTAAAACTACCTCGGGTACATATCGGTAGTACCTGTTACGACAACGACCCCTTGAGTGACACTAACACTATACTATACAGCTATACGCACATAGCTGTCCGGTTCAATTGATACAGCCCATAACTATATAGCTACGATCTTCATTACCACAGCTATTGTAGCATCCAGTGTCATGACTCACGTTTATCGTTGTTAGAACCACACTCTATATGCAATATAAGTGCTAACTACGTGTGCACCTGTCACCGTGGTTCGACGCTGTAGTTCATAGTGGCATTATAAACGGGTACGAAGGACGTAACGCCCACTAGCGGCGTGTACGTACACGTGCTGCTTGCGACTGCGCCACGTTTGCGTACACGTCTACGAGAATCGGCCATGCGTTAAGCACTCACTGTTCACGACCGCTGAGCAACGCAAATTAATCATTGATCATCATCCCATCATCTCCCCCACCCAGTAACCTACACAGGTGTGTGGGTAATTACCTAATATTGCCAGGTGAAACTACTCAGGTGAGCACAGATAATGATGCAGTGACAGGACATCGGATGGAAACGAATGGCTCACGTGGGCAATAGACATGAAGAGAAGAGAGAACGCTAGAGGAAATGGAAGGCCAGTAATAATAAACTTTTTTTTATAAATTCTTTAAAATTTTAAAATAATTCTGTACGATAAATCTAAATATCTGAACAGTATTAACAAAAATGCATCACTACTGATATAGTCTTTGTACCACTCATATTTTTTCAATCAACTGATTGTGCAGATATGTAATAATTAACTAATTAATATTATAATCAGTTAATTATTAAAAAATCTGACTTTTAATCTTGGAATACAATTTATGATTAGAAGCACAATGCGGTCACTTGCGTGTATGCACGCTTGCCTTACAGTTCCTCCAACGGTGCTGAGAGCATCTATATACACACACACACATACATACAACACATACATGCGAACATACATAACACATACATAACAGTAAACCACAAACAGGAAAGGAAGAAGGAAGACAACAGAGGCAGCATACCTGGGGAACATCAGGAGTGACAGGGACAGGATTCTCTCTAGAGGAGGTGCACGGGGAAGAAGCTGCCGCTGCCACTGGAGGAGGTGAAGGCCTCGTCGCCTTCCCCGTCGTGCTCTCGCCTCGTGTGCTGCCCTCTATTTTCGCCTTCTGCTTCTTGCGTAGCAGGTCCGACGGCTCGTGAAAACTCTCGACGGAAACCTTCGATGGTGCGCTGCATCTCGGAAGTTTCTCTGGCTTCTTCACAGGTGGCGCCAGCGCACCATGCACCGCGGCCAGCGTTGGGAAGAAGATGGCGGACAGGTAGCAGGGTGCGCCGCTGCCTCCGGCGGGGTCACAGTCAGCACACCGGCAGCAGATCTCGCCCTTACCAACAGAGGTTTCAATCACGTCCGCGACGACGTCGTGCGGTTGCAGCCATGGCATGACGGTCCCCTGTCCATACTGCTCCAGAACCAACCGCACAACTCGCCGCACCACTGCTTCGTCCTCTCTAGAGAGCGCTACCTGTCGCTTTTGTGCGTCGCGTGCGGCGACCGGTTGCCCGTCCTCTGGCTCCGCAGAGCGGGGTCGGCGACTGCACAGCGATCCGAAAACACGTGTGAGCCAGTCCTCCACCAGGAGGCGCTTGTCGCGCACTGCCCCGTCGCCCACACGGACAGGTGGCGTCGGTGTCGCCGGTCTGTTGTCTTCGGCCGCCTGCACGTCACACTCGTCGGACCCTGCATCAAAATCGAGTGACAGGGAGGAGGTGTCATCGTCCGACAGATCTCCATTGTTGGTGCTGACATCCGCCATCGCCCCCTCACTCGAAGTCATGCTAGGCACGTCGCCATGGTAACCGGCAGCAGCCCCGCTCGTCGTCCACTTAGTGTCGCTGTCGCCCTCCATGGTCAGATTGCTGGGGACTGTGAGACTTGTGAGGGACAGCGCGCCGCGATCATAGTGTGCCGCGGCGGCAGCGTCTTGTCGGTAGCGCTCGCATATGCTGCCGAACGACCACGCGCTCATCTGCGAACTAGAGCTCTGTGGAACATCGCTCGGGTTGGGTGCCGGGCACCCGCTCTGGCCAGCACTCGGACTTAGGTCAGCAGACTCACTATACCCCTGACCGTCTCTCGCGCTCGATTCCGGGTTTCCGTCACCTCTCGGGCTGGCAGTGATGCTACTGGGTACTGAGAGACTGGAGAGGGAGAGAGCACCCGTGTCCACGAGCGATTCCTCTAAGTCTGTGGCGCCATGCGATTGCCGATCCTCAATCGACGCATCGTCATCGTCATCGAAGCAGGACGCGTGCAGCGGGGTGACGAGGTGACGGCTGTCGCGAGTCATCAGCCCGAGACCAGCTATCGTCACAGACTCCGTGCTCTGCGGTGCCACGCCCCCGCACGCGCTGCTGCAGGCCTGCAGTGAGTCCGGCCGCTGCATGAAGCGGCTGTAGGCACGCGGCGCGGTCGCCGCATCTCCGCACATCGCTGACGAGCTCGCGAAGACGCGTGAGCCGGGGTACGTGCCGTCGGACGAAGCGCGGTACTGGTCGTAGAACCAGATGCGCTCGTGCGAGGAGGGCATGGAGGAGGTGGAGACGCCGCTGTCGTAGACGTAGGAGGAAGGGGAATAGTCACTCTCGGATGTATCTAGGATTGAGGAGTACTGCGAGGCACTGCCCAGCTGATAGATGGGGTTGTCCTCCCATTCATCTTCCGTTGTCACAGAGGAGGCAGAGAACGGTGCAGACGATGGAGGCAGTCTAGATGGCTTCTCTACTCTCTCTTCTCTCTCATCTACTCGCGAGTCACATTTATTGCTGCTGTTAGAGTTGACCGAGTCCTTGCATTTTGGCAGTGATTTTGACGGAGAACTCGGACTAGATGTGTGTGGGACATTCTGAGTAACCCCGGGCTTGTTTGGTTTGATTGATCCCGATGTCAAATTATTCCTTTGTTGTGATGGTGATTCGTTTTGCTGTTTATAACAATAATTCTTGGTATGCATCAAAGAGTCTCTTCGACCCATGTCTAGCTGTGAGGGTGGTGTATAGCTAGTTATAGAGTCACTGTTACCCATATTTAGCTGTGAGGGTGGTGTATAGCTAGTTATAGAGTCACTGTTACCCATATTTAGCTGTGAGGGTGGTGTATAGGTAAAGCTAGATGTAATGTGTTTCGCCATGTCTGCTGGATTTTCTTGCATGAACCTACCTAGCAGAGTCGATGGCGTCGTGTAGGTGAAACTTTTTACGCGGTCGTCAAACGTGACTTTTGACAGACTCTTCCTACTACCATGACTGGTCTTACTGAGACAACTCAGCAACGCCTGACTTCCTTCCTTAGAAGATGTCGATGCTTTAGAAATGGATTCAGGCAAACTTGATATCTGTCTTGCCGGCTCCTCTTTCGAAGGCTCCCTTCTTGAGGAGACCAAAGCAGAAGTACTAGACTGATTTACTAGGCTGGCACAGCTTTCTGTCATGAATAGTGACGTAATCTTATCATTTGATAAACTTTCCAACACCTCTGTTGTTATAGAACCCTGACTAGACGTTGCTGCTGTTAACGGCGTGATCTTTTCTTCAGTTTTCACAGACTTTTGCTCATCATCTGATTTTACTGCTGCTGTGACATCCTTGTTTTTGTACAAACTAGAGACGAGTGATCGCTGCTTTCTCGGCTTTTTAGCTTTAGCAGGTTGCGCGGGTGGCTGTTCATCTAACCAGCTCATGTCTGACAGGACGGTATAGCCCAAATTCACCTCAGCTGACCAGTTCTCTAGTGGCGACAGGCTAGCCGTTATCCGCTCAGAATGTTGTGCTATGCTAGCGTCTCCAACGACGGCCGTTTCTGCGCCGCGCCTGCTTGCGCCCCCTTGCAGCTCAGCACGTACGTCAGGCGGGGTCGCCAGGACAACGCCCATCTCCGCCGGCGCCCTCTCTCTCAGCGTGTCTGCGACGAAAACGGAGAGGATGCTGTTTGCCGTCGCGGCTGCGTCGTCGTTGCTATCGCCCGTCACGTCCGCCCCCTCGATGGCGCCACCAAAGCGAGGCTCCGCGACGGGCTCAAACTTTCCCGCAGCAGCACGGCTGCCGGCTTTACTGCGGGATTTAACGAGCTTGGCAGACGTTTGCGAAGCAAGTTGGAAGTTGTCGGCGGAAGAAGAGCTGCCGGTGGTAAGGCTGGGAAGCTTGCGACGCACGGACAGCTGCATCTCCTCACTGCTACTCGGCCGCTCGCCGGCATTCTGATGTGCCCCCCGCCCACTTACGCCTCCTCCCTCGTTCGCACCCCACCCGCCACCACCCTCCTCCCTCGCTACACAGGTGGGGATACTCTCTCCCGCCGGCTGCTGCGTACTCACACTCTCCATCTCGGCCGTCGTCTGCCCAGGAACCACCTCCAGCGAGTTGGACTTGCGTGGAAGCAGGCCACCAGGGTCACTGCTGTCATCCTCAAAGCCAGATGAGTAGAGGTCCGGAGTTCCCCGCAGCCGGGTCTTTGAGGCCCGGCTCATCTGACCATGCACAGCTGAAACAATAATAAACCGATTACTTAAATAACAGGTATTTCCGTATTAAACAAATTCCGTGCCTGCGCGTGGGCGAAATGTGCAATTTAACAAACCGATTAATTAACTCATGGGTAAACGAATTCCGTGCCTGTGCGTGGGTTAATTGTTACATGGATTAATTGACCTATCTGCTTGAGTAAGATAACCACACCCTTTTCTTTTTATTATTGCTACACAATGTGATTCACACATGCACCAAAATTAATATCGACATAGTGGCATGTTTAGAACACCATAATCACAATGAATAACTAGAGCTACCAGTCAATGAGTCCAGGCACAATGGTCAGTTAACAAACTTGTAAACAGATTCGACTAAAAGTTCTTTGATCATCAGATCTGGTATTTTCAACTACGCAGGTACAGTCAAGCCAGTGTTAGCAAACCCTTGACATTTTCCTCAAGTGCGAGCTTTACAGTACGAGCACATCTATACAGACACCTGTTCATGTAAGAAATTTGGGTGGTTTTCCTAAACTGATCTTTACACACAGGATTGACTGTGATGCACAGGAACATGGGCAATTGAGTTTGACACAAAAAAGCATCATTCTAACTTTACATACACTAAAAACACCACAAAGAATATCACAGTACTTAGCACAGTGGAACCCCAATTTTACGCGCCCTGATTTAACACGAATTCGGATATAACGCGATGAGTCGTTGGACCCCCCCTTTTTTGGCTCTTATATATAGCCACGTATATATAACCCCGATTTCGTGCGAACCCGCTTTTTTCGCGATGTTATTTTATGGACCCCCAACCATCGCGTTATAACGAGGCTAAACTGTACTTGTAGTGGGCGATGAAACAATGAGCAGTGAGGAAAGGTTAGAAGTAACAGCTTACACGGGGCTGCCAGGACCCTATCTGCTGACCGCCCCACGTTGAACAGCTGAGACGACCTTGCTGTCGCGGCTGGGATGTTGTCAAGGGACAGTGACTGCTTGGCCTGATGCTCTTCCTCCTCTAGTTGCTCTAGCAAACGTGCTGCAAAAGATTCACAACAATAAACAGCTGCCCCCCCACAAGAGAACGATGAAAGACTCACTGAGCATAACCACCTAGATTGCATGCGAGGGTTCATCATTAAAGTGTTTATGTCACCGTAAATAGTAAAATAACAAAAATATTTCCACTTTTTCACAAAATATATGTAATTCTGTTCACTTTTTATAGTTAAATTGCTGCATTATACTTCTTATTTTACTATATTGTTCGATGTGAACATACACTCGTGACGCATACATAGCCCATAGCAAGCAATTAATGTCAGGAACACTAATATCAAATCGTCCAGGTTTTTTGAATTGTTCACTAGTTGAGAAACAATCTTATCAGGTAAGAATTTTACAATACGTTTAGTCCCGTTAGTTCTTACTTTTAATGTAAAAAAATGGCAACCAAATTTTTACAAATTTTACCATAGAAAATTCGTGACGTAGTCAATTTAAACTCCACTTCATTCAAGATACAGATCAGATGATGATTTTGGGATCCATCCATATAGTTCGGCAGATCTTAGGTACTCTAACAAACACTGTCGATAATTTACAATGCCAACCTTTGTTCCTTAATACATCCTCACAGCTTCGCATTTCGATTTTCTCCTCATTCTTGATCTGTTCCCTGACTAGCTTCAGCAGATTGAATGATCCCTGGCTGACATGTGGGGCAATAGGGATTCTGCATAAATTCAAAACAAAAAATAGATTAATAAATGCTCATCTTCAAAAATTTCCAGGTAGAATGCCGTGCTTACTCACTATAAAAGGATATCAGCACTTTGGCTACGGCAGTTTTAACTATATATTTTCGTAAAACTGTTTGAAAACCATTATCTCATCTATATTGCATAATAATTTGCATCTCAAACAATCCATAAGATGGAATAAATATGCCATAATTAATTTCATTATTTAAATATCGCAAACAAGAAATAGCTCGGTGTTCCTTTTGAGAGTCAACAGTTACGAGGAAACAACAACTCACACTATTTCCTCATCAGAGTCATTCTCAGCCAATGTGGATACAGATTCCTTCTCTGGAAGACTTTTGTTGCCATAACTATCCATATTTTTAGATAGAAGCCTATTTTCACGTCACAAAAAAAGATTGATATATCAATGAAAAACTCAATGCAGGTATAGACAAAAAAAGTCTAGCTTACATTTTGTCTACACAAATCAATGCCAAATTAATGGTAGCACTTGCATTCTACTGGTAAGGAAAGTACCTTGGTCTGATATGTCTAAATCATGTATGGTAGAACTTATCAACCCATGTGTAAATACTTTGATTTGTGGACGGTGCTTCAGAAACTACTATCCATTCTCATCTGTGCCTTTAGTCATAGAACAGCACCTGCAAATGAATCACCAGTATGTACATCAATATAACCATGTAACATATACAGCACTCACATTGTTTTTCAATGGCTAAAATGCACATGAGAATGTGCATACCTCGTCTAGATGTGGAACAAATTAATAATACATCTGACTATTTGGCATGATTTTTAGATCACATTCACACTCCTGAAAATATTGACATATACCCATTGCCAACTTACTACATGCACTCAGACTCCTTAATTATCAGCATGTAATAAATGATATAGTAGCTGTTCACAATGGCTAGATAGATAACATCAACTTGATAACATTCCATATTATATAGACAAATTTAGCGAATTCTTGTACGACAGAAATCGTAAACTAGTAATGTTTGTTGTCAGAACAAAAATTGCAATCTCAATTTCGACGCACTGCCACTGACCAGCGATGATTTCGTTGGTCAATCAGAACACATCACAGCACAATAAACAACAAACATTTTAAGTGTAGCGGTGGCACTGGTCACAGCCTATGCTCCCAGTGGTACGATTCACTGGTGAGTATGTACAATATATGTATTTGGGAATGTTGTGTGTGCACGTGTGTGAATTTCTATGGTGTTAGTTGTCAAACGTCATGTTTCACCCATGAAATAGCTATGATTTGCTCTATGTCACATCTTCTGAGGTGGGAGCATCTTAAGCCATGAATAGGTGGCATGAATCTCCCTGGTTCCCCAGTGTGCACCATGGAAGCTGGCTACATGTCACTTGGAGTCAGCAGTTGCCTGACAGGCATTGCAGTGAGAGCAATGCTAGCAGTTGGCAGCCAGCTGGTCATTGCAGTAAGAGCAATGCCGTCGGTTGTGTTACAGCTTGGATTAGGGTTAGCTTTACAGTAGTGGTGTAACGTTTCACTGATACCTCAGTGAATCACGATACAGCGGCTCATGATACGATAATCAATATGCAGCATCCGTATCGCAAAACAAACGATACGGATGTTACACAGTGAATAAGGCACGCTAAACTATAAAGCACATGTAATTCATTTTAAATTGAATTATTTCTTCTATTATATGAACTCCCTCTCGTATTATGTAAATATCCTCAGATGTGGTAGAAAGCTATGTAAATATATGTGGCACGCTTGCAGTGTTTCCCCTACATTTACACGAGCGAGGCGGGCCTCCTCCCTCAAATTCCCAGCCGCCACACAGAAATTTGTCCAAAACACCGCCTCACTGATGAAAATCTCATACAATGTGTTCAGAATAGCTTAGAATGCCCCAAATTGGGAGGGGGGGCCTCCGGACCCCCTTAACTTGGCGAGCACCTGCAGTGTTCGCTTTGCTAGGACCTAGAAATGTGCAAACACACCAAAAAAATGACCACCTCACAGACCTTTTGGGCCAGGGAAAACACTGCGCTTGTAAATGTTGTATTGCCGCCAAAGTTGTTACCACAAAACAATCAAGTGTGCCGATTGACTGGTGCACGTCATTACTGTGCACGTAATGTAGCACTGTGTGTGGTGTGCATGCGAGTGGAGCTGTCGAGTACAGGTTAGTCTGGAGCACGCTAAGAACGTCTCCGTGTGTTTCAGCCATAGAAATATATACGTATTGAGATACGTATCGAATCATTACCCTAGTGTATCATTACACCTCTACAGGGCTCAATTTTAACAGTCGTCCGGTCATCCGTGACGACTGGATTTTCTCTCGGGCAACTACAAATTGCTTCCGTGGTTGTCCAGTGTCCAACCTCTATAAAAATTTTATATTCATAATGCGCGCGTTCATTTTACATTTTTCATGCAACTTTTAATTACTATTATTATACGTCATTGATCCCAGCATCATTTACCACATTACCAATATTTTATTCTCTTCATATAATGAGTGAAACAATGCGAATGGCCATGTTTGCTGTCACTGCAATACGTACAAAATGTACATGATTAGGCCTTTTGCTTTACAACACTGAGCATCACGTGAGCAGAGCGCATGCAGCACGCATGCATGTTTAAATAATATCCGGACAACCAAAACTCTTGAGGGACAACCATCTGCTACTCTCTTGGTTGTCCTCCAGACAACCCAAAAAAAACCTTAAAATTGAGCACTGCCTCTACTTTACAGCACCCCTAAGCGAAGGCTATAGAGCTGCAGAATTTAAATGGCCTGGGTAACCAGCCACTGTTGGTAATACCTGTTACTCTTGTGAGTGAGCTGTTTCTCTTGTGCTGTAATTGCTTGGGCGCCGAGTAAATATAATATATTATTTTTACATATAAAAATAAGATATAGAATAGCATTAACTCTACACATGTAGAACATAACTAAATGTGTACATTCGCTAAGTATCCTCATTGTCGAGTGATTATACTGAAACAAGTTGTTGGCTATAGTAGAGTTCCAAGCATCGCGGACATCTTAGTAACATCCACTACGCTAACAAGTGAGCGGAAAAAACGACATACAAACTTGTTTAAAATTTCTGTTGTGACGAAGTTTTGAACATTTGGTGCTGTACATGTTTTTTACAAAATAAAAAGTGATAACATTTACTTCAGAAGCTCACAATGAATGCCAAGTTTTTTATAATGTAGGTAAAATATTAATAAAATAAGATTCATATAATTAGTTCTAAGAATTTCAATGTTACATGATCAGAAACATATAAAATGTTGTTATACAAAAAGTCGTTACATAAAGTTTGTTTCTAGGGAATCAAGGATAGTTTGGGACCCCGCAAATGTGTTTTCGCATATGTGCTAAACTAATCCGGGGTGCTAAACTAGGCTTGGGTTGGCTAGTATTGAGCCATGAATAACATTAAATTATAAATATTTCAAAGGTAGGGCCTTAATTTATGGCACAATCTTCCTACTAGTTTGGGACCCTGGCCCTCATTTTCTGTAACCAATGTCCTGTAACTTCTACTTCTACTCTATATTGCCATTGGCCACTGTCAACATACTGATGATTCTGCCAACAGAAGGCGCTATAGCTAGTAGTTAGCCTTTTAAGTTTTAGCCTTTAGTCCTGTAATACTTGTTTGACTAACTGTCTTAGAATAGTCACATGGCATGGCTATGTCAGAAACTCTCATGGCATACATAAATGTACTAATTTAGCCTACGCTGTACTTGTCGATGAGGGTCGATGATCATGACATGGATGTGTAGTTAATCGGTATATCATATGGACAGCCACTACCGGCGGCTTACCAAGTAATAGTTGAAGTATATTTGTGTTGCAGCCAAGTAAACAATAATCTTTATAGTTCAAGGAACTGTAGCCGTAGGGTGTGCAGAAGAAGAAAGAGATCGAGAGATATTCAAAATTGATCAAATTGACGATTGACAGATTGTTGAACCAAACCATAATCATGTCATTACTACACTACAGTACAGTCCAGTCTAGGCTCTAGTCTAGAGACTAGTAGTAGTACTAGTAGTAGTAGTAGTAGTAGTAGTAGTAGTAGTAGTAGTAGTAGTAGTAGTACAGCCTGGCTTACAGGCTACAGCCTACACGGCTACAGGCTACATTACTCATTTACTGATTTAGTCATTAGACATTACCTACTGTAGCCTACTGAGTAGTAAGGTTTATTCGTGTTCCGTGCAATGAACAGATATGCCGTACTCCAGTCACACAGTGATAAATTTTTGTACACTATAGGCAAAGCTATGGCGAACAATAATATTTTACCTCATTTTAATGTAGTGGCATCACCAGTTTTACAATAAACTAAACACAAAACAACAACAAATGTTTAGTCGCTATAACAACAACAGAAGGACGCTTTTAAATAGGTAGCGCCACGGTGCCACCGGAACCGGATAAGGTATATTTTGTGATGTCAAGTGTTTTTTAGCGCCAATGTTGATAATGTTGGCGAATATCCTTTCCCTTGTAGTTGTTACTCTATCGTACTTTTGACGCATAACTAAGCGCAGTTTGAAATGGACATATCCGAATATGAGAAAGACAATACGAAGAATTGTCTCTTAAAATCGTCTGTCCCGTGCTTGACGAAGAATGAACCATGTTGGCTCGGTATTGACGAAGCAGGCCGCGGACCAGTTCTCGGTAAAATGATAAAATCGGTCGTGAACTCGCAGTCACATTTATTTAATAATATTTATTAATTAATTAATATGATCATGTCTTATTTAAATAGCAGCAGCGATGGTATTGACTATAAGTAGGCACCATGCATGCAGTTAACTTAGCCTTCAATCTTGGAACGTCTCAATAAATAAATAAAAAAGGTCAATATTAATAAACACAAAATCATGTACCCTATTTACTACCAAAGTCTGTTTCTCTACTCTATTTCGCATATTATTGCCGATAATCACCTGTAAATGCCGGTCAAGTGCTCATCTGCAACACACAAGTACACCGTACGCTCGCCCTGTCACCTGTGCACAAACAACATGAATAAGAGAGCAGGTAGGAAAGCGTGATCACAAAATTCACTTGACGCTCGCTCAGGGATCAAATTTTACGACTGCAACTGCCGGCATTTGCTGCCGGAACATATTGATTTGCCGTCAATGGTAGTCTGTATCGGCGGCAAGTAAATGTCGTCGTAGCACATCCAAATATACACGCAAGTACAAACAGTCACACTGCACCTATCCCTAACCCTAACACTAACACTAACTCTGAACCGACTCGGCTATCTTATATATATACACGTGTCATAGCACCAAAATTAATCTATGGTGTATAACCTTTCATAGTGATGCGCAAACAATGCTCGGACGAATAGCGCCACTGAACTAGTATCCGATGCTCGGACGAATAGCGCCACCGAACTAGTATCCGATGCTCGGACGAATAGTCCACGTCCTTAAAGGACATATATATCGTGGATATTCGTCCGAGCATCAGATACTTGTATACACAAAATATACACACAAGTACAAACAGTCACCCTATCCCACGAATAGTATAATAATATATCCACACGGTTCAGTATGATTTTACTACTAATATTTTGTGTATATTCTTCATATGTTTTCAATGTTTGTCGATTACTAAGTCGCTGTGCGATTTAAATAAGAAACCTGTGTATGCTGCTGAATCAGTCCCCACTACTGTGCAATTTAAATCAATATTTCTATGACAGAGTCTTCAATTGTTAGATTAAATAATCTAACAATGTGTCTCACTGCTGCTCTGTGTCTGGACTTTTTGTATTTTATTACATGTAAATATTTTAAATTGACAAAAAACTTTAATATTAATTGCACCATCTTGGTTTTATTCATATTTGATACCATAAAGAAATAATTGTATATATGTTAATCAATATCATTATCTTTTAGCCGTATAACTTGTGATTTTGACAGAAAATCGACGCCGTTCGGTTTTCTAGACTTGCTGTCAGAGTGTTGCTACTTGCTGTCAGAGGCAAATTGCCAAATTCGATGCCTGCTCGCTTCATTTCACACGATTACAGAACGAAAAGACAAGAAACAGCCTCCATCTTAGTATCTATATGTGTAGCTAAATGTTTACTTGTTCAAATTATAACTCTGTCCTTTGTTCTTACCTACTCCCGCCAGAGATAGCTCGTGAAATCCTGCAGGAAATGTTCTCTCCGTGAAAATGTAAAGAGGACGAGATGTCTGTTTATACACGAGTAATGGGGCGCATTGCATGCCGGGATGAGCTGCTGCCTGCCTCCGAGCCTCCGTTTCGAGGCCCGCCAAGCCAAGCATAATGCGCGCGGGCATGACGTCACACACACGACTGCAGTGATCGGTCGAAAGTAGCGCCGTTAGGGATTTTCGAATGATACGTCCTTTTTACATTTTTAAGGAGAGAACATTTCCTGCAGGATTTCTTGAGATATCTCTGGGGGGAGTAGGTAAGAACAAAAGGACAGAGTTATAATTCGAACAAGTGAACATTTAGCTGCAGATAGATACCAAGATGGAGGCTGTTTGTTGTGTTTCTGTTCTGTAGTCGTGTGAAATGAAGCGAGCGTCGAGCAAATTTTCGATCACGCCTTTCCTACCTGCTCTCTTATTCATGTTGTTTGTGCACAGGGCGGGCGTGCGGTGTACTTGTGTGTTGCAGATGAGCATTTGACCGGCATTTACAGGTGATTATCGGCCAATAATATGTGAAATAGAGTGTAGAGAAACATTAAGACTGGTAGTAAATACATTTTGTGTTTATTGACCTTTTTTTTTTATTGAGACGTTCCAAGTGCCTGTGTACCCTGGTACTATCTAATATGCCGGACTGTACCTCGCCTACTCCATTAACGAGTCTAGGGAGTCACCTACGCCTACTTCCTAACCCCAACCCTAACCATATATAGATAGTACCAGCGGGTACGTTCCGGTATACCCTAACCCTGGGGGACATAGACCCTATGAGCGTTAGTCGTAGGCCTAGGCATAGCTATAGTCCTGCACACTGAGCCCACTGGCACTGCCACTGGGTAGAACTAGAACTTTCTTGATAGTTAGGTGCTATGTGTGCATACAAACATGTCACACACACACAAACGCACGCATGCATGTTCACACACATACACACGCCACACACAATACGTGTGTGCTGGGCATACCTCAGCTATAAATAAATAAATAATATCCTACAATAACCTAGCTTAAACTTACTATTGCGAGATTTTTGCTCAGAAAAACTAAATATAGATGAATATAGTCTCACCTGACAGCGGAAATATCACTGATTACACCAACATTAAAAACACCAAGATTTATGCAGTTATAGCATAGAAAAATGATTTTACCACATCATACCAGCAATAAATTTTATCGTATGCCGACTCTCAAAATCACAAATGGCGCCTTCAAACCAAGTGCATAATTAAAACAAAAGGGCGTGTGGTAAATATTATTGAGTTTTTAGCTCACCTTGACATCGTAAAGCTGAGCTATTGCCATGGTTTGTCGTCCGTCGTACGTCCGTCCGTCCGTCCGTCAACATTTGGCTACGGTCAACGATAACTCAGGAACCGTTTAACCCACATGTTTGAAATTGGTATAGCTGTTACCGCTTGCTCCCATATTGAACGTCCTATTTTGGAGCACGCCATCGACATACTTTCGAGCCACGGCAATTTTTTGACAAAAAATGGGAATTGCCATTAGTCAGTTCAGGTTCAACGGATTTTGCTCGTTTTGGTATGTTAATGAATAAGGCGCGGGGTTTGATATTTAAAAAAAATTATGCAAATTAGGTAGGTTTTGGCAATTATATAGCATATTATATAGACACGCAGATAACAAACAGTCTGTGGTGTCACACTCGTCTGGTTCGTTTTATAAGATTTCATTGACAATATCTTTAATGCCAAAATTCCTTCTATGAACATATTATGATTATACTATTATTATTATATTATTATTTATTATGATATAATGATTTATGCTAAGAAACATCAAAGCGGGTATAGCGCCATCTACCGTCACAAATTGTGATTCATTTTGGTTTATAAATTATTTATAATTTATATATAATATTATTTATTATTTTCACATAAAAAATTACACATATAATTATGAAGAGTATATAATGGGAGTTCTCCCATATATACTCTTTGTTTCTATAATGTATGTCGATGGTTGCTCAATTAAAACTGACTTCTTCTCACTCTCTCATTTGTGTCATTTTTTGTGGTGAGCTACAGTGTCATTGACCCTTTCATTATGTCAATAATTCAGAGCACTTTCTGTCATTGTCATTCCCGTGTTACTAACTGACTGGTAATCCACAAGCTTCTCTAATAACAGACTTTACGTGGCATTAGGACTATTCTCCTGTTACGCTAGTATGAACGTCTGTGGTTACACTCTGACCTGATTTTTGCGGCGCCGACTATATGCATTACTGCACCGTGATAGATGTCTCGTGCTACTGCGAGAAAGTCCGAGAGATGGCAACGCCGTAAACAAACAGGACGCAAAATTGTAATCGTGCACGATTTTTGTGAATACAAAGGTTCTAAGACATTTTATCGTTACTCTAGACAATTGCTGTTACTCAAGCAATAACGGTAGTTATCATGAAAGTGGGGAAAACACTGGAAAACTCTCACAATAGTTACTTTAATGCCTCAACAATACAAAATAAGTTAACTTCTTATCGGGTGTCAGTACATAACAATAATACTATACAAGATAGCCATGCGTTCACTCTCAGTAACTAATTATTTGATTTCAGGCTCAATGGTGTATGGCATTTGCTATTCCCCAATCTCTAGAAAGGAGGAGTTCACAAAGAACAGTTTTGCAGACTCTAAGACATTGACGGAGGAGCAACGAGAACAGCTTATGGAAAAGATTAACGAATGCTCTGAATGGATAGGTTGGATGACAGATATTTTATCACCTGCATTTATCTCAAATGCAATGTTAAGAAGGTACTTATTTTAATATATACATATTTCTCATCATGCCAATCATGAAAGGTAAAAGGGTGGATGGTTGGATGGATGGATGGATGCATCATGGATATAGATAGATAAATAGATAGATTAGGTGGGTAGGTGGTTGCTGGGTGGACGGACGGACGGACAGATAATAGATAGAAAAATAGGTTTGTGGTGGGATGGATGGATGGATGAATGGACGGATGGATGATGGATGGATAGGTCGATAGCTCTGCCTCCTGTAACAGGCTGTGACTGGATTGGTGGAGATTGGATAGAATTAGGTTAACAGTGAATGTTATCAGCACATTTTATGAGTTGTCTGATAAAGGACACCTGTCCTTTTACTATTAAACATTTACTTGGGGGGCTTTTAAGGTGTCCTAGCTATTTGTGTACTTTTAGGTCAAAGTATAACTTGAATTGGATTTCCCACGATTCTGCGATAGGATTGGTGAAAGCTGCACTGCAAGATGGAGTGCAAGTTGAAGAGGTCAGTGGGTTATACACACATATTACATGTTTTTGTACCTTTAGACTGGAGGTATTTTTTGATGGTTGAACATGGAATTGGATTCTAGGACAACTACCCCTGGACAATTACCCACCGGACAATTACTCCCGGACAATTACCCACCAGGACAATTACCACCCGGACGATTACCCACCC